CAGTGACAAATCATTCCTTTCTAATACGTAACATCAGTGGTACAGCTGAGTACTTACGTGAATTCTGATAGTATTAAGCTTAATTAATTTCCAGTTTGTTTTAAATCACTTGGAATAGATTAAATCTGTTTTACACTAATTAAACAAGACTTGGGAGGGAGATAATAAGAAACTTTCTAGAGCTAAACCCTCTTATCGTAGCTATATATTGTTTGTACGGAAGAATGCGAAAGATGATACTTTGTCATAAAACCTAATGGTTTAATTTTAAAACTACCATCAAGTTGTCAATATGATAGAGACAAATACATAAGTGTTTAACAAACAAAAAAGTAATGAAACACAAGAATATCTAAATGAACAACTCTTCTTGACACCACCATCGGTATCTACTGTTACATTTCCATAATGATTGCATTAAAACGGTCAGAATAAAAGATATGTAAATACGTTAATTAAAGTGTTTTATGTACAAATTATGAACTTTTATACATGGTTTAACGTTTGAAATACACCAATAATATATCAAGTTGTAAATTTAAAAGATCATTTCAGAAAATGGCAGGTAAACTAATCATAAGGCTACGATTTGTAATCAATATAATATGATTTATCATGTGAATAAGATGTACAGAGGGGGAATGTTTGACTAATTAAAATAAGACTGGCAAATATATCAATAATAAACGAATCATGTGCATAGAATATTAAATAAGAGAAATGCAATAAAAATAAGAAATTCTTGAGACAAAAAAGATGAATGTAGAAATGAATGATGAAATGGCAGAGATGAACACAGAAAACGATTAAGAAATAGTCTATTAAGGGCGTGGGTTGGCCAAATGATTGACCACCGCAAACACAGAGGTTGAGTATACCCCTTTTGGAGCTATTCCTGACAGTATTTTCCATCTAGATATTCTGTAATCCTGGTTCTTTTGGTAGGCTGTTCAAGAGCATGTAAAGCTTCAACCTCTTATTCTAAATAACATTTAACTTAGCAAATGATGTGTATTTGTACTTTAACTGAGGTGAAATTAATTGTCATTAACGAATAACAATTTGAAACGAACAAGACCCAAACAGAATAACTGCTTATAACCTGTAATACATAAAATCCTAATTAAAAAACGGATTCAAATTACTTGGATGAAGATTAGTTGAAAGTTACTACTTCTGACAAAGTAGAAGAAAAATTGGTGAACGATGAAGAATCAACTGCAATCCACAGAAATTCGACGATAACTTAAAAAATTTATACGTAGGAAAAGGTCGAGGCTATAATCAGTCAAAAATCGACCTCAAAAGTGATGACGTCACAAACACAATGAGCAGGAAGTTTGACAGTGAACTAGCCAGACCATTCCTTACAGTCAAACTATTAATCCCGCATAATACATGTTCAATAGCCCATTCAAAGGTTGGCAAATATCCTTTCATGTAACCAACTGCCTACAAATTTACACATTCCAATCAAATCAACTACATTGGCCGAAAATACAAAAGAGGACATACCTTATATTTTTGAACATGTTTTAAACTGCTTTCGAACTAGAGACTGATTAATTTAAAATGTAAAATTCACAAACACATCTTGGACTCAGAACATCATGCCAGTGCCTTGAAGTAGTTTAAGAGGGTTCGTAAACAAGCACACTATGATCGCCGGAAGTTTACGGAAGTTATTACTACTAGGCGTCAGAAACGTGGTTTATACATTGCAATGAAGTTACTATTCTTTCTCTGACCTTAAGAAAAACGTTTTTTCGTTTCATCATAAAATTTTATTCAATGCTTTTGCTCAGTTATTTTCACAATCTCTCTTCTTTCCAACTTTCTTCTCAATCAATAAGTTCATTTTAGAAAATTGTGTTTTACTCACTTTATCCTTATTTGTCAATGTTTGTTCATTACATAATCATTTGTTTCCAGCTCTAGTATTACAATCTTGTATTACAATCCATGTTGTAGAATATTCTTTTGGACAAAATATATATTTGTAATATTTTATTTGATGCTTCAAATCTAGTTACATCTGTACTATACCATTCGGATGTATCTTTACAATTTATTTCTGGTAAACTCATTCATTATAAGTATTTCTAATCTGTTGTGTAATCATAATTTTAAAATGTTGAAGGTTATCAATAGCAGACTGAAATCAAAAGAAAAAAAAAAGGGAATTCATATGATTCTGCTTCAATCTTTGTTTTCGTTTTCAATGCTTTTGGATATTTCATGTTGAATTGTTAAACTGCAACAACAGCGAAGTTCAAAATTCTGTGGAACGATCTCGAGGATAAATTTGAGAAGATATCAAACCTTCATAACATACACTATTGCCAAGTTTGGAATTTTAGATAAAAACATATTGATTAGTACGATTCATGAATGTTTCAATCTTATAGTAAATAACAAAGGTAATGACGTGAAAATAAACTAAAATCCATAAGAAATTACATACGTATCTCATCGCTGTTTACCAGTCTGTCATTTTTTCACTAGACTAGACTAGACAACCAATAAGAATCGAATACATTTGAAATCACCAGTCAATCATTGTTAGATCACCATTAGAAACCTGGGAGCACTGGTATGGGACTCATCAGCAGTGCGAATCCACGACTCCTGCACCTAACAGGATTACAACCCGGGACCTTCGGTATTGTGCGCGAACGCCTGACCATCGGACCACTGGGCCGGCATCCAACGGTGTTAATTAATGTCTAACTCTGATTGATCTACGGATGTTTGCGCGACCTCACCCATTTGTCTTTGGTAGTTACTGCCTACACCCGACAGGGTCGAACTCCACTGGTCACGTGTTCTCACTAGAACTCCGAGAATTTCCTCACGAAGCTAGTCACTAGTGAGCACTGTTACGACAATTCCAGTTAGAGCTTTAACATATAGCCCAAGTATCAAAAGGACCGGCATCATTTCGATACTACTGTGGAATAAATATCTTGTTTTCTAATTGAGGATGGTAATTTTGACGAAAATTAACATAATACAAGTCTAGCATACTGATTCAGTAAAGAATGTGATAAGTTACATATAATGACTTGAAACGAGACTGATCTGTCAGGGTTGCAATTCGGTTTTGAATACCGATTTCCGCAAAATACACTGCTGTTTCCTAATACTGAAAAGGAGCTGATACCTCTCACTTATCGCAACAAAACCAGTCTACCTATTTAATGAAGGAAGAACACAAGACATTAGGAAAAGAGTGATTTATTCACCAACCACTAAATAAATGACATCCACATATTGTAGTGATAATAAGTTACATGGTGTTTTGAATGCATTGGTCAATCAATAAATTTAAATGAATTAAACTGAGTATTTCATTAACTTATCTGTGAATACAGATTTCATAATCAATAAATGTACTCATTTGGTTGAGAAATATCATCTATTAGTGAATTGTTTAATTCTTTACGTTACTGTTTCAGATATACCAAGAGTAACTGACATGATAAACACTTTTTAACTTGATATGTTGAAAATCTATCTACAAAAATAATTTTTATTATTTCGAAATGATAAAATTCTTTTAAAATTTCAGTAAATCTTGTTTTTTTTAACCTTGTCAAACCTACGTTTCTATAAAATGTTACTTTTCTAAGAAAATATGTCCGAAAAAATATATGTGAATTGCTTTGATTGTGTTCTTAGTGAAAAGAAATACTACTCTAACAAGTGCTTTCATTTATGTCAGTATTTTGCCAACATACAAGTAAATTCATACTTCACTAAAATGGCAATTGAAGCACGTATGATTATATTAGTATTGTTATTATTATTGCTTTATATAATATATGTAGGCGCCCAATATAAGAAGTGTGAATTATTTACAAACGATGCAACTCGTCAGTAGGTTTATGATTTATAGTTAACTGAAATAAAGGATAATAATTGTGAATCTTCCCAAAAGTGTTGTAGTAAACCATGCTAGTACATTAACTATGTATTTCAAACTGTGTACTTTTAAACTAAGAAATATCACATGAAAGCATTTCATTTGAGATTTTCGATTAAAGATTTTTATTGATGGTTTCATTTATCGAAAATTTATTTTATAGACAAAAATACCGACTGACAAATTACTTCATGCTACGTTTAATGTTTTATTATCATGAAATTACAAAAGGTTTTGTGCAACTATAACATTTTATTCAGATCTGATACTGTTATGTTATTTTTCTGACGAAAAATGTCATATATGCAAACAATAAAAATAAATGATACATTCATAAAAATTTCGAATGATTTTTATCATCGGTTTTATTTCTTATTACTTTATCTCATCAAAAGCTACTAGTTATTCGAACTTATTACAGATTGATAATGTCCATTTTGCATTATGGGGTTGTGGTGTTCGCTGAGTTACTTTTTTTGAAATCTTGAATCCGTCAATGTTAGACCAACATTATACACCTGGAAGCACTAAATAGCCGTCAAATCCTGGTATGGAACTCACCAGAAATGCGCACACGTGACTCCTGCACCCCAAAATGCAATTACCTGTACTCAATTGTGACTAGCTCCGTGAGGAAGCTTCTCCGAGTTCTGATGAGAAGCCGTGAGCAATAGAGTTCAAACCCGTTCGGTTTTAGACAGTAACTACCGAAAAAGGTGCGCAAGACCTTGAATTCATAGAAGTTGGACATCAAGACTGTGAGATACCGGTTCACTTGTCCAGAGGTTAGGTGTCCGCGCACAAAACCGAAGGTCATGTATTCGAATCCTGCGAGATAATTTGTCAGATGGTATTTTTGTCTATAAAATAAATTTTCGATAAATGAAACCATCAATAAAAATCTTTAATCGAAAATCTCAAATGAAATGCTTTCATGTGATATTTCTTAGTTTAAAAGTACACAGTTTGAAATACATAGTTAATGTACTAGCATGGTTTACTACAACACTTCTAAGAAGGTTCTGAATTATTTAACTAAATTCTCTTTTACATTGTACTTTAATTGTTTCTTTAGGTATCGCTAGTGTTTAGGGATATTATATTAATCTTGCATAAATCATGTACTACTTAGCCAACGAACAAGCATTCCAAATTCTGTACGCCAATCATTGATGAACAATAACAAGCTTAAAAGTGATTGAATCAATAAATATTTTATTGAATACATGTACGTTTGAATAATGACTGCAATTGTTGTACCTTAATTAATTTTTTAATAACTGCCTAACATTAATAGGCTGAGAAATGCATCTTCAACTGCTTTAATTATTTTGCAAAGAGTGAAACAAAAGAATAGTCTGAGTATAGTTTATAATAAATCTATGCTCACAAAATAAACATTCACGATGCTATTTAGAATTGTTACTATTTCATAGAGAAACTATGAATGCTCTAGGATGAAACCATGTAACAAAGAAAACACGTTACTATCAATGCTACAAATTATCTTTATCATCTCTGTCCTAGTAAACCGTTAATGACAAACATACAATCTACTCTATTTCGAGATAGAAATCAAATAGGTTTTACAAAACGCGATTGCTTTATAAACATATCTACTAGCAGTATTCTACATGTCTTTTCAATACTGGAACATTGATATAAATACCGAAAAACAAGTGAGTTTGAAAAGAGCACTAATTAGTCATTTATACACTACAGAGATACTGGTAATTCATCATATTTACCCTGGACTCTATGCTTAGAGGTAAAAAAAAGTGCAAACTCTCACTGTACTATGCTCCTTTTAAATTTACATCCATTATAAGTTAATGCTTAGTACTTTCTTGGAATGTTTATTTATTCTTATTAATTTCTATAGTTCAAATTACGAATTGATATTAGTTAAACATCCACTGAAGACCAAGAAACACTGAATAGCTGTTTCATCCTATTGTAAAACTACTTTGAACCATGGGTTCATGAACCAGCGTTCAGGATTCGGAACCAGAATCTCCAAACTCATTCATGAACGCCTAACCTAGTCCAGATCATTTGTTACTGACATAAAGATTTTCAAATTTCATTTCTTCGTCCTCCTTATACTCTACCAAGTAAACAATTATTTTTAACACATTTGATTTTATCTAATTATTGCTGCTTAACTTCACGATTGTTGCGTAACCAGATTTTGGTACATGAAACTTTCATTCAGTTCCTTTACTTTATGTAAACACTTCAAGAATAACAAAATTTACAAAATAAAATGAATCTATCGTTCGGTTTTAAGGCTTCACCGAAAATGGTCAACAATCGGAAGATGTAATCTAATTGTGAACAAAGCTTTGACAAACTTTAGTGAAGATTAGATGGAGAAACAAAACATTTATTAACTGACATAGAACAAAAAATTAAATGGATATGTATCTGTATGTCGCGAAAGAAAATAATAATGAAAAGTAAAGGAATACTTATGCCATCAATTTTTCAAATTACTATAATTACTCATTCGACCATTATAGTCAATAGAGCTGATGTAGAGTGGTGATTTCCATTCAATTGATTGTTCCACAATGATTCGTAATGTTGCAATTTGGTCCGTACACGATCGATCCTTACGAAATCCGGCCTGTTGGTCTCGAAGTTGGACGTCTACGAAGTCCTTCATTCTGTTTAACAATACCCTGTTGAAGACTTTGCCTGGTATTGAAAGAAGAGTGATGCCTCTGTAGTTCTCACACTTGCTGAGATCGTCTTTCTTTGGTATTTTGATGAGGTATCCTTCTTTCCAGTGTGATGATACTTGTACTTTATCCCAAATCTTATTGAAGAGAATATGAAATATTTTCGCAGTTGCTTCCACGTCTGCTTTCATTGCGTCTACTGGAAAGTTGTCTGGTCCTGCTGATTTGCTGCTCTTGATTTTTCTGATGGCCATGCTGATCTCTTCAATTGTAGGTGCGCCAACATCAATTAGGAGGTCCGTAGATGCTGCTTCGATGTTGGATGGGTTCTGTGGACCTGGTCGATTCAAGAGTTCCTTAAAGTTCTCTACCCACCTATTTCGCTGTTCTTCAGTGTAGCTGATTACTTTGGCATTCTTGCTTTTACTGGTCGTTCTGGTTTACGATAGTTTCCAGCGAGATTCTTCTCTGTATTGTAGAATTGTCTCATGTTTACTTATCTAGCAGCTATTTCCGCCGAAACTTCTAGATATTTCACTGATGCTCTTCTTCACTTCCCTATTTGCTTCTGTGAATGCAGCCTGTGCCTTAACTTTCTCTGCTCTTGTTCGGCTGATTTTGACTGCCACCCTCTCGTTCCTCCTATGTTGAATTTTTTCAAGAGTACTAACAGAGATCCATTCCTTGTGATGGTACTTCCTGTGGCCTATTTTTTTGATGGGATGTCATCGCCAACCCCATGCCCAATCCTCCTCCTTTATCCGGGCTTGGGACCGGTAGTAACATCAAAGGGTCTACAGGCGTAGATGTCAACCCTCAGTTCTTCATCATTACTTAAAAAGAATCTAAATAATTGGTAATCAAATCTGTGGTTCCACTAACTGAAGGTTATTTCGAGCTACATTCACAATATGATTGCTCCTTGTAGTTGTAGGTTAGTTTTCAGTCGAAATGAGAAATCTTTCAATGGGATGATGAATTCATTTAATTCTGTAAATATTATTGTTCTTGCTCTGTTCAGGTTCATCAAGATATCTGATTGAATAAAACTTTTTTTCAATTAAATCACCACTGTACAGGTTGCGTAAATAATGTAATCGAAAAGAAAACTGTCTTCATCAAATTCGTCTTAATTCTTCTGAAAAAGGAGATTGTTGCATATCACTGGTGAGTAGAAGTATTTAATTGACGTTGATATTTCTCAGAAAATACACCTGTGCTGTTAAGAAGAGTAATAATTATCAGGCAATCGATTTTTACTTTTTCCAATTTATTATATGGTTAGTCTTCTTTCATCAACAAATCACTATGGTAACTGAATCAATTTTCTTCTGGGAAAATAATCTTCGTATATCACTGTATTTTAAAGTAACTAAATACATTTAATGTTTGTATTTGAACATTTTAAAAGTAATTGTTATTTGTAAACTAGGTTCTCAATATAATAGTATAAAGCTTGTCGTTATAACATTAATAAGTTTTCCAATATTTAATAATTACTATTGTTTAATTAAATTTAAAATTATTTGAACTATCCTCTGGTTGATATTTTTAACTAACACAAAAAACAATCGACATAACAGAATAATATGAATTCAATTTATTTCATGGTTTCTCATCAGCAACTTGTCACCTCTAAACATAATTGTAGTAGTATAATTCATTTTTAAAAAAAAACAGTTTAAATAATTTATCTATCCATTATATTGGAAAAGTTCTCTTTAGTAAAGATTAATGAAACAGCAACATAGACTGCATAAATGATAATATTTGTATGTTAATTAATATGAATATTTAAAACGATTGAATATAAGAATAGTTTGGAATAAACAATGAAGAACATAGAAACAGAATTATTTGAAAATAACACATTAATGTTATAGTAGTTGCATGTAGTAACCTTTAAAACAAAATTTACTGAGTTCACAGATCACATAATAATTGAGAATAATTAATTCATCATCAACAAAAATTACATAACAACACTTTGTGAATGAAGAATGATGAGGTCATCAGCGCAAAAAAAAAAACCGAATCGATAGTTGATGTTTTGTCAATGCAGAGATTTGGTCTTATTGATCTTAGTGAACCGTAGTAAATTTGATGCTCATCGTGTAATAATTACCTTGACAAAACCTTCAGATATCAAACTGATGACTACTGTCAAGGCAAATGGTGTGCGATTGCACCAGTGAGCATATGTCGTTCTCTTAGTCTAAGTTTCCATGGAATGTGCTCAAAGATGCGGATACTAAGTCTCTTTTCTGTTCTTCCAATTGATGTGCATTGGAATGTACATGTAAACTGGTAGATATTATGGAAGTTGACACAGAGCAGGAATCTGTCCACACATGACTGTCTTAATGAGCAATTCATGTGATTTAGATGAATCCGTTCCGAGGCTGGATAAGTCTGTTTTATGATGGCTTTTAATCTGAAATTAATCTTTCTTGCCATCTCATCGCCCTTGAAGTCCAGTCTTTGGAATACATACTCCAAATCTTTTTCTAAATTCTTTCCATACTGGGTCGTGAACTATCATGACAAAAACAACATATTGATAATTAATTATATTTTGCTTTGTTTGCAAATTGCTGATGAGAAACCACTAAATACAATGAATTCATGAATTCTATTCTGCTAGATTCACTGATCTCGCTTTGGTCGAATCTATAAATAAGAAATATTGTTTGAAATGTTTGTCTGGATTTTGATGGGTCTTATTTGGTGTTTGTATACATTGAGCGAGATTTTTTAAATTAGCCATCATGTCAGAAGTTTGGGCAAAAAAAAGAATTAGTTAAATTAAATGCGGTTAGCAGTAGAATTCAGGAACCGTATTTCATCTAATCATGGATTCGTCTATTCAATGTACCTGCATTCTATGTTTCATGTTCATTCCGGTCTTCAATCTATATCTCTTACGCTTCAGATTTCAACTCGTTATATTACCAGATACCAAGAATGGATTATCGCTGACTTGTACAACATGAATGAATAATGTTCTACTTTTAATGGCTTGCGTCTTTGTGATGATGATGTTCCGTATACAATTTTGTTGAACCTCTTTTTGCCACTTTTTTGTACATCACTAGTACTTTTAAGATTATGCTTAATGCAAAGCAGTATCCTCATTTTAATGTAAGTGTACCCAGACAAAATAAAATGTATATAAGTTAGATTTCACAACAGCAGTTATACCATCATGTAACGTTTAATTCTAATAAAATTTAAAGTTATCTTTCTTTGTATAGATGATACGGGATACGTTAACGGTAATATTTTCAACAATTTTTCATTGATGAAACTTCAAATTTAGACCTGTATCCCATTTTCCTCATAAATGTGTGTAGGAAACGGGATAATTACACAAAATAATGAAGTTTTTGCGTATGGAAGTGATTTTTTTTATTCAAACCAGTGTATTTTCGTATACCTTTTAGTATCAGCTCTATCGGTAATTATGTAAACATTGCTTGATATAATCTACGTCAAGCACA